AAAAAAAAAAAAAAAAAAAAAAAAAAAAAAAGAGAGAAATTCAAGTAAACAGCATTTATCACAGCATTGCCATGGGCTAAACTGATGCTCAGGCAATACTTTCTAGTGATTTATCTACCTCAACCCCTATTCCTTTCTGGTCTACACTACAATTAGCTATATGAAATCCAAGTGGTCTATTGTAGCCCCTCCTTCCAATTAATTAAATGGATAGTAGTTAATTTTGAAGTACTGAAATAACAGATAATCAGACTTCTACATAAATCTTACTTGTTATGACTTGTAATTCATAAACAAATTAATTAACCTTCATTAATTAAGTTAGACAAGAGATTTGTTTTACCTTCCAGGTTACTGTGTCAACTTACCTCTGCTACGCAAACCACAAAGCGTGGTTTGACAAATACAATCACAGTCTACTGTAAATCTTAAGACTACAATAAATACAGATGTTAGACCAAAGAATTGAGTACTCTACATCAGCCATTTAGCTTTCAGCTGGCTCCTTTTTATGCACAAAACCTCTTTATGTTCTTATCTGGTGTACCACACCACACAGGTAATGCTCTCCTTTCTGGTGAGACTGTATCTTGGGTTATGCACCCAGATACTACGTGAAGTGCCCCACTGCTAATGGCAACACGAAATAACCAAAGCACAGAACAGGCTGCAGTTCTGCACCCTCCAGCAACGGCCAGGGACACATTCATCAAAACAGGATTCAGGACACAGGATATCTGGTGACACATACAGGCTTGTGTCCCCAGATGTGAAGAGAACTGAAAAAGCTCAAGTGGTACTGCTGTTTGCCTGAGATGAATTTGTGTGTGCTTCCTAATGCCAGGCCCTTTTTCCCATCAAAATGTACATGAATGAAGACAACACAATGTGGGATAAATCTACCAAAGATGTTATCCGGACTCTCTCAGAGACAACCCTCTGGGTCTCCCCTGGGAGAGGTCAGAAAGTTTTATAAAGGGAAGAACAGCCTAAGCCTACTAGAATTTGCAGGAGCTACCTGACAGTTAGCTGCAGTAGACTACCCAAGATCTGAGGACTGAAGATGTACTAAACAATAAAGAAAAAAAAAGGTTACATTCATACAAACAACAAAAGAGGAACAGACCTCTGGTAGATGTGCCCCTAATATGGGGAGTTATGCGAGACCTTTGTATGGGTGGACACATCAGGCCACCATTTTGACCTGCATGCTGCAGCGTAGGGATAATTTTATAGGAGAGTCCAGAGAATTCAGTGGCCTCCAGCACAGCCCATGCATCCCTGAACACCAAAGCCCTGGGGCAGTGGTAAGACCATTCTGAGTCCCAACCAGAAATACTTCCCTTCCTGGCACTCTGGAGTCAACTTAATAACTTCAGCAACTTTCAACAAGTCTTGTCTTTTTGCAGTACAAGTCTCAGATGATGCACCACCAGTTTTTATCGAAGTTTTAAATTTACTTGTGGTGAGAGAAAAAAAATGTCCCTGGAAGAGAGCATGACTACACCCTTTGAATCTTTCTATTGGAAACAGCAACAGTGAAAGCTGTCACCTTCACAATGTCCTCACACAAACCTGCTCTTAGCCCTCTGGGGGCTTGACCACTAACACCCCTTTTCATGGCAGGACTAGGAATAACCTTCACTGATCCCCCTTTCTGACTGTTCCCCCTCTGTCAACACTAGGCAGGTGTTGAGTGTTTTCTGGGCATAATGTCATATGTGCACAGTTTTTATCCTGTCTTCTTTGAGGCCATTAACGAAGTAGTTAAACAGGTTAGAACTTTGCTCTGTTAATATAAAACTTAGTAGCAACATAAAAGTGTTGGTTTCAGTTGCCTCCCCTTGAACACAGATAGAGGAGTGCGGCATGTTTGTACAGCATTTACCTCCCTGAAAGGATCAGAAGAGTGGCAAGGTTAAATACCATTTTCTGAACATCCTCCTGCAACCTGTGCTTGAAGAAAAGGTGTTTTCAGAAAAAAACCCAAACCTCAGGTACTCCTTGAGAGACAGGTTTTCATGATGCTGACTTTTTTGCATGAAGCTGGGGCAAGAGGCTGCAGTCACCAGCAGTCACTGGAGAGGTGGAAAAGCTGCATGCTCTGAGAATAGAGTCTTGTAAAAACATGGCAGGGGACTACTTTGACTCTGTGGAAATCTCTCGAGTTTACTGGGATCCTGAACCAACAACTGACATGCTATAATCCAATGTGGTATGGGGGTGCAGGTCAGGTCTTTCACAAGTCAATATCCCAAACAGCTCAAAACCAAGGCTGACAGCCCCTTCTGAGCAGCACAGCTATAGCAAACTAATCAAGATCACTACTTTATTTGAACTTGCCATAAGATGACACAGAGCAGATGTACAGAAGAATAGGGCAGGTTGTTCCATCTTTGCTCAGTTGAGGCCCTAGAGCACCTGAAGTAGGAGGTTCTTGAGCTGTTTGCTGCAGGGGATTCCCAGTTTCAATTTCAGCACTCATATCCCAAGGATTTCATGCTGACACAGAAGAAAGGGCCATGAGCTCATGCTGGGACACACAGCACCCCTTTTTAACTCCTCTTCATGAAGCTACTAGTCAGCAGCAGCAAAGAGGCTTCAAGGGAACAAGTCTTTATGGCTATGTGGAATAGGGGCATTGAAAGACAGAGCTGTGAAACAAATGCTTCAGGTGCTGCGGCTGCTTCAGCCATCAACAAGCACCCTCTGAGATGGGCCATGCCTAGGATGTCCTCCTTAACAAGGGCCAGAGACCAACACTGCTGTGAACACAGTAAGAAAAGAGAGGATGGTCCCCAGAGGTCACCTCCAGAATGTCCATCCTCTGACCGTGCTTTCTGGGACAGCCACAAGGAAAAGGCAACACAGTCCCCTGTTGAGCAGATGTGTCTTGCTCCAACAGAAGATATTCCTCATTTAAGAGATCTTCCTGGCTGAGGCATATTGGGTTGATGAGGCAGACTGAAGCAGCTGATGTTTGTGGAATTTTTAAAAGTCCTGGGGCATGGTGGAGTATATTCAAATAAATCCCATGTTGTTTTTGTTGACTGTTTTGTGCTTGCTACCACTCATGTGCTTCTTAAAAAAGGGGTCAGGGGGTTGACTTTTTTAAAAAAAGAAAAAATGTTTTCAGGCTATAGGCTTAGTTTCTGAAAAAATGTGGTTTTGCAGAATGTTGGTTGTTTAACCCATTGAACCTATTTTAGTTCAGTCATGTTGGCTTATAACCACATTTGTGCATTTTACATTCTCTTCTGTTCACAGTACTCAACACTGCTCCTTGTTCTTGGTACTCACTATTGGTTCAAAAAATGCTGTCTCAACCAATTGATTGTTATTAACAGCATCCTGTAAACAGCAAGAGTGGTTAATCGATGGGTCATGGCTCAAAAGGCCATTAAGCATTACCTGGCAAACAGTCCCTCAAACACAATTCAAAACTGCATCAGAGGAAGCACTGTTTTTTTGGGTGGTGTGAAGGGGAGGTGTGCAATCTGTTTTATTGTCACATAGCTATTTTGCACCTGCGAGAGAACAGGTGTTGCCACTGCCATACAGAGGTTTTAGAGCTCCAAAATTCAGCCTTGCATTAATGCTTAAAAATACTGTTACAATGAGTTGCTGGAAGCCAGACTGGGAAACCTTTTCTCTCCCAAAAAGGATCAAAATGTAAAGCTGGAGAAAATGTCAGGTTGCCATGAAATAACACATAACAGATGGCAATGCTGGTCACTTATAGGGTGTAATTCCTGCCATACATGATAAAGGGATGGCCAGCTCCTGTCTCATCTTTGCTTCTTCATGTTAATCTTGGGGCTTGCACATTCCCTTTGTTGCAATATTGACTTTCATGTCTTGAAATCTTGCTTCTTCAAGATTTACGCAGGCTGTAATCTCTACTTATGACATTCAGCCTCCCTACCTGACCTGCACCTCCATTTTCTCCTTTTCAGGTGACTTTCATCCTGCTCTTTCTCTTCATCCACAGTCTTGGTTACTGATTTCAGAAGTAATATAGGCAGTACTTCTCACTGTATATACTGTGAGGTGCAAAACATGTGTCCCTGCGTGAGGGGAAGCGATATGGGGTGTCAGCAGGCTTCTAAAGAGAAGCCCTTTCACTCAGGAGCAAACAAAACTGTCATCCTCACTCTATCCTTTCCCTGTCCCTTATATGTGCACATAAACATCTCAGGTCTGCTTCCTGAACAACCAAGGGAACAAATGCTGCCTCTCTCCCCTTTACAGAGCTGATAGCACTGACAAGAAATATAAATTCCCAAATTTCAGGGAACATTTAAGGAGCAGGTAACAAAATGCAGTGTCACTGAGGGAAGAACACTACATAACAACATATAAAAGACTTTCCCAAAGGAAAAACTTTGATTAGAAGTAATCACACCATTAAGCAAACAAGTTGCAAGTCATTTTTGTGTCAAGTTAGCGGTCAGGGAAGTCCTCAGACCCTAATGGACATGTAGTTCCAGTGTGGTCCTCCTCGCAGTGTGATACGCCACTGGCTAACATAGATGGACTTAGACCAGCCTAAACCCCAGTGGGAACCACTGTCACAGGCATGATAAAATGAACTGAATGGTATTGAGAACAGCTCTTAAAGACAACTTATGCAAATTAGCAGCTAATACAACATCTGCGTTTCTGAAGGACTGGATTCCCTTTAGAAACATACTGTTTTGGTCAGATTCTTTTGAAAGTGCTGTGAATTCTCCTTACTTAGCCCAGAGACGAATTCACGGAAGTTGATGAGCAAGTCTCCATTTTCATCAAGAAGCCTGAATAGGCGTGCAGCTAACACATCTGAATGAGTTCCACACGCCCATGGGAAGAGGAGAGCAAACATCCCCTTGAACTGCTCAAAGTCAATACGGTACTGCTCCAGGTAAGGCAGGCTGGGATCGTGCCGGTCAATAGCATTGCTGTTTCCTCCCCAGTAGCAGCTGGTCAGATGTTCTGCCTGAACAGAAGGCAAATGCTGTGAGATTGTCATCACTTCCATAAACAACTCATTGCTATCAATGATTTTTAAAAAAATTTCCAAGCTCCTACACACACATTCTTCAGACAACACAAGAATAGCAGGTGTATTTCCATCTACCTAACCCTTGCACTTCTGGACCTCTAAACAGCACAAAAACCATCCCTCTGCAAAAAACAGAAGATAAAGGTAGATGAAACATGAAATACCCATTTTGAACAGAGCAGTAAGCAGCTGTGACTTGCATATATACACAGGCTTGTTGTACTTAGTCACCTGCTTCAATCTCACCACACAGCCAAGTCAGAGAGGGGGGAGTCTCACAAAATCTTTAATTTCAGAGCATAAGGAAATTGCTGTTTATTTGAAATATTTTTTGTTGAACTGTATAGTCTCAAGAATACTGTCCTACTCTTTCAGCCTTACTGATGTCAGTGAAAGTTCTGGAGCTGATTGCAGTGAAATCTAATTCAAAACGATTCAGAAGCTTCAAGAAAGAGATACTAGAACTGCACAGGATTGTCTGACTTGGTGTCACTGATTCCATGGAAGACTGAAAGAAGGCATTGCAGGTTTTGGACAATTGTAAGACCTGACATTATAGACGGGAAATTTGAAAGAAGTTCTTCACGGAATAAAAAAAAAGAAATCTCTCTTATAACAAAATAGAGGAAGAAGGTATCTTGTTTTAAGGCACTGTGCATGAAGGTAAAATGCTTTAGTTTCAACTGCTCACCTTTAAATTTATGGATCTAACAGTATTGCTGTACAATCAGCTTACAAAGACACATCACTTCATGACACTAAAATTCCATGTAATACAGTATACATTAAAGCATTAATAATGACAAAAATCAGCCGTTGTGATATGGAAGTTTTATCTGTGAGATAATAAAGATATTTCTGTGCTAAATTCCAAAATCTGGGTCAGATAGAGACACATACGTACATTTCTAAAGATTGATCAAGAGTCTCTAGCTATTCATTTTTTCTTTATAATAGTTTTCATCAGTAAATGCATTTTTTTCCACAGACAAATTATTTAGTGAGTTACTTAATTTCCTGAGCTTTTAAAAATGGTTGGGTTTTTTTGTATGTTCAATAATAGAGCAGCTAATTCAAGTTTGTAGTAAGATACCTGATAGTAACTCACTCGGACTCAACCTGGTCCTTAAGAAAACAGTCCCATATAAAAAAAAAATAAACATTTGCATTTCCTGCAGGCACATGATCTTATCTTCACTTGGCTTTACCTTGAAAAGAGCATACAGTTCCTCCAGTTCATCGATAGTAAAAGAAGTCTCTGTCACAATAGTTCGTACCTTTTGAAACATAACATTAACAGTTATGGATTTGAAATCCATGTCTCATTGAAAAACTAATTTAAATTTCAGAAACTGACTGACCTTAATCTTTGCAAAGAACATTATTTCAGTACTTACCACATTGCGCTTTGTAGTATCTTCAAGGGTTTGGATAACTTTCAGCCTTTGTTTGAATCTCATTTGTTCAATTAAATCTGCTCGAATACTTCCAAATTTCTTCAAAAAGAAAAAGAAGTAGAGGATAGTCTGTGTATTAGTATTTGGAAACCTTAGCTTGCCTTTAATGTATTTGGGAAATTACTTATGTGATATATCACAGATGGTATATTTAAAAAAAACCTGCTGTTAAGGCATTTTTCTAACACATGACAAAGTTATAAAGACTTTAGGAATGTATCACTAGATTTTATTTTTCCCAATACTTCACTTTCATTTAATTTGAAAGGTCTTTATTAAGGTACAAATCCTCACATTGAAAGCAATAATCCTAGCAATTAGAAATTTCTTGCTTGGCAAATCTCTATGAATGGACTGATTCATAAGTCTTTCAGCAAGGTTTTACTTGGGCTTGTCCTGGAATATCTTAATTGCTACAGAGAGAGAAGCTATTTAGACTAACTGGATCTCTAACAGCTGAGACAGTATAGCAGTCCTTACGTTCATGAGGATCTGAAACCATGCATCAAGAATGCAACTTCTATTAGCAAGAAGATTCTCTGAAGTGCCCAAGTCTTATTTTCAGAAGTTTTCTTCATAATGCACAAAACAGCCTCAGGGAGCTCCTGCATATACTACAGAAGCATCCTAGGGAAAAACCTATAAGGAATAATATTCCATATTTTTGTATGTAGAGGGATGCGTAATCCCTCAGATTTATTTTTGTGAACTATAAGTAGAAGTTTTGTGTCATCAAGAAAACACTTGTAACATACTTAGAAATACACAGGTGACTAGCAGGAACAGTAACACCAGACATTAAGTATGCCACGTGTAAAAATAAAAGTTGGCAACAAGATACGCTTTCATACAGCATGGATTTATATTTCCAGTGCAAATGCATCTACATAAGTAGGTCATAATTTGCCCAGCATGTTCTTGTATGATCAAAGTAACACTAAAGCTGTGTTTATCTGTAAAGCTGTGCACGTTTATCTTGTCCCTCAGGAATAAAAAGATGTTTCATGTACTTAGAGCATTTTGCAAATAAAGAGGGCTTTTGATAAAATGGAATCTAGAGGAATATCCATGAATATCAAGCATCGCAGAGGTCACAAAACCATGAAAAGGGAGGTCTTTTGATGCTCTGAGGCTACGTCTATTCCAGAAATCAGGGTGTATTCTCTGGCCCAGAGGCTAAATGAGACAGTCTGCTCACGTACAACTTAAACTCGTGTAGCCTACAGAAAAGGAAGGCTGCATGCAATTACCTTCTTGGAGGGGGTCCCCCGCCCATGTTAACTTTCAAACCATAGAGGGAATTGCTGGAAGCCTGTCACTTGTTAGGTCAAAACTGCATCAAACCTTTCAACAGCGCAGACCTTTGAGCGTTTAACTTGGTTAAAATGTCCAAGATCCAGACACTAATATAGATGTTTAAGGCCTATTTTTTTCCAAACTAACAAAGACACAAATCAAAGGAGTTAAGCACATACAGCTTGAATATCTGATTCTACACTCCACTGACAGCTAAGGAGACATGCACAGGCTTTTAAAGCTGTAGTGACTGTGCATTATTTCAGTCACTTCTATTGTAAATACCGTAACACCAGGCTCTATGCCTTCTGAATTAATTGCAAAATTGAATGAAAGGAGATTTCTTAATAAAAAACGTTCTCAGGAGATGAAAAAGTTACTGGCAGGGTAAAATGTATCTGTTATGTATATTCTCTTATTTCAAGAACGTTTGTCATTTAAAATAGAAATTCAGTTCAATATCAGGGGGGTGCCAATTAATTACCAAAAAATTCCTCTGTATCGCTTCAGCTTTCTCTGGAGACCTCTCATATATGCATCTGACATGATTAGCTAAGAACTGGACAGGATCAGAGCATTATGGAAAGTAGCTCTTCATAAAACAATCCAAATATTCTGCTTTTGCCAGTGCTATGACTTCATCAGGTTCTCAGACTCATCACGCTCCACGACAACTATCACAGGACAGTCTGCAAGGGACAAGGTTCTCCCCACCTTGGGGGTGGTGTGTGTGTGTTTGAGGGAAGGCAAAGGACTCCAAGAAAAAGCATTTGTTTCAGCTGTAGATCTTCCTATTTTTTTGTCAATAATAAATATCTAGAAGATTAAGTATAGATGGTTAGTCAACAAGTACCTTTAACAGCTTAAATTCTAAAACCAGCAACGGTATGCTCACTTACTTGATATTTCACTCTTTGTAGCTGCGACAAAGCTAACAGTGCATTCCCAGCCCTGACTGCACACAACTGAGGAACGTAACAGTCATTGAATAACAGATGCCTTGAAGTTTTTTTTTATTTTGATAGTTTACTACTGAGTTGTTGGTGGTTTTTTAATAATCAAATCAGCCAACGACTCTCCTGAAACTAATTCTCTCCTTGCAACCAGCTCCTGCTTCCCTCACAGTTTTTCACTCCTCATGCTATTTGTTTTGCCTAATTATACCAGAGTACAGCTGGTTATTTATCTAGAACAAGCTACAAGGCTCTGTGCTGCATAAGCCCCAGAAAGACAGACTGGCTCTGCATGGAGTGAAGTTATTCATCAAAAAGCAGTTAAGCCAATGCAAGCTGTCTTCGTGATGAGGAAATCCGAAAAATACGAGGGAAATAACTTCACATAAACAACCTTCTCCCCATTCTAACATTGTGTGAAGGGGAAGAACTATACACCTAATTTGATTGTGTTTGTCCTTCAGCTTAAAATACACTAAGGACTACCTACTTCCTTGTTAAATAGATATCATGTTATTAAAGCAAGGAGGTTTTAGGGACATCGGAAGTGTCTCTGAAACAGCTGTCATATTGCTAAGTATGAACCTACATCTTGGACTAAAAATACTAATTTACCCTTCATGTCAATGGAAGGAAAAAAGGAAAACAAAAAGAATAGCTCTTTAGCATTATTATTTTATAACATCAGTGTAATCAACAGGAGTATTTAACTGATGGCTTATCTTTAAAAGTTAAGAATAATGGAACTGGTTTTCAAGTTGGGGTTTTTTTTGCAGGCTTTGTCCTGTGCTTTACTGATATCAGTTATTACCAGCACCTTTCACTTGAAATTTTTTTAGCTTTGTTGATTATAGAGAAGCTAGGGGTCCATGGTCATAATCAGCGCTTGCTTTAAAAAAAAAAAAATATAAAAGAAACAAAAGTTCCACTGATAATAGAAAGGTCTTCTGAAATCATACAGATTTCACCAATATTTCAGTTTGGAAAAGCATGAGAAAGCTTAGATGAGAAATAACCTTTTTTGAATTACAAGTTCAGCCTTTTGTTTGTAAATCACTTTTTTGTTGCAAGCTCTCCTTTGATGCTGCAGGCTTCTATACAAAACAGCTCCAACTAGAAGTTTTGGTTAAAAGAAAAAGACTAACCCCTCTTCCCTGCCCCATTTCAGACTTCTGAGATGAGTCTGTATTTCTTTTATATTCTTTCCATTCCAAGCAAAGCCAAAATATAGAGTATCAAATTCCTCTGTAAAGCAGAACTACTGTGGGTTGGCAAGTTCCTGTGAAGAAATCCTATCCTACCTCATAGGAAGACCTGATTAGTCTGAAGATATCCACCTCAGGATACGGCTCCACATCATCACTAAGCAGTGAATGAAGATGAGGAATGGGTGGAAGAGTGCTGTCCTTATTAGTTACGCTGTCCAAATATCTGATGGGAAAGAACAATAAAAACAAGTGAAAAACCCAAGATGCACTGATACTTCCTCCCTTCTCAGGGTTAACAGAATAAGGGTTACATATAGACTAGTGAATATAAAAATGATCAAGTCACTCTCTACTAATAGACTACAGAATTTTTGATATCAGTAATCTGACAAATCCTAACACTGCTTTTTCTCAGAGAGCACTAAGGTAACCCTGGTAATTCATTATCCTTATCGAGAAATAGCTTAAATACAGCTAGTAACAAAGACGTGGCTTACTGAACAGGTTTGTTACTTCTGGCTGTTTAAATAAACTAAGGGAATTATGACACCATGGGAACAAGGCTCAGTGTGCTTTACCCTGCGCGCTTCCCATCCTACTACTGCCCAACCTCACTGCAAGAGGCTTGAAGGGCTTGTTCCTCCCACCGTGCAGCTGCTGTAGATCATCCATCTTCTATCCTGCAGCTGCGGAACACTTAGATCCTCAGCAAGCACTGGGGCTTACTTCAGAGAAAACACAACCACAGTTGTCTTTAATCCCAAAGAAAATAAAATCAGATTTCAGTAAGGCTATACTAATAAAATTTACTAGGAAAAAAAATTTCCAAAGTTTCAGCAGCATTTTTAAACTAAATACTACCAAACATAAGGAAATCAGAGGTTACATGCAGCAGTATTAGTAGGTATTAAATGACTCAATCCAGTTTATTTATCAGCCTCCTGTTTCACTGAAATCTATTTATTTTAGAGCCTGCCTAATTAATCTGAGTTCTGTTTAGTCCGTTATCAAAACAATTTCCCTTGAGATCAAGGCTTTTTCTTAGCAGCATTTAAAAGGTAGCAGGCAAAAGATGAAGTAACAAAAACCACGTAATCAACTAAAATAATCAACCAAAATAAGTTTCTATAACCAGGTCTGGGAAGTTTATTTGAATGTCTTGAAAGAAGAATTTTTACCTTGTTGGTCACTTAACATTATTTTAAGATAATATCAAGAATAGCTTATACGGGTGAAAGGGGACTACAAGAGTGTAAAAGATTTACATACATCGTACTGGTTTGAGTATTTCAACATAGAATACAACAAATCAGAAAAGCAAAAAAGAAAAATAAAGTGAAGATACTTTATTTTCTGTAATAAATACCTTCCCAAGACTGTCATGGCTTCTCCATCATCTTTACAGTTAAGCAGCTTGTCTACATTAGCATCGAGGACAGCAAGCGCTAATTGAAATATCACCTTTATTCCTTCACAGAAGAAACAATCCACAACCACCACTGCACTTTCAAATGGCATTACACTGAGGAAAAGAGTGAGGAACCAGGACAGGGAAATGGTGGATATTACACCCAAGTCCTGCATGCAGTCATAAAGCTGTGGCACATAGTCACGAGCCAACTCTTCAAAGACACCCTGATCCACCAATGCTCCTGTTGAAAATAAATAAGGTTGGATGTCCGTTAATTCAGGAGCAACTGACCATATCACCATTTAGGGGAGAAAAATATACACACACACACACACACACACACACACACAAAAATACAAAACTTAAGAATATTCTCTACATGATGCTTTACATACATTCTCTCACTTTCAGATAAATAACAGATTCTAATCCACTACTGAGCTGTACATGCCAAGTGAACTGCAGTAAGGGGTTTTTTGGTTTAATTATACACTTCATAAGAGTTAACAAAGAGTCAGTTTGGTCTAGCACCTACAGAAGTTATAAGATGGCTTAGTAGTTACTACTACTAATTAGAAAAGCCTTCTCCACACCACCTGTTGGAGGAGGCCAGGGTGACTGCCTGTGAGGGTTTGGATTTATTTCAAGAGAATTCTGTGTTATACATATTTATGCCGTAACATCAGTGGCTTAAGTGGGCCGGGAAGAATATTTTCTGAATCTGAATGAGTATCTCAAGCTACAGTAATGACAGTTTCCATGATAAACTGAAGAGCCATTCAGTTCCACACACAGAAGGAAACTGCCATCTGACAAACAACAGCTTTCAGATACTTGTGTCTTCTCAAATCACTGGTAAACAGGCACAAAGACTTCTACTACAAATTGCCAAAGATCCTGATTCCACCTTGCTTTAATTAGATAACTGGAGCATCTAAAATTAAAATCCCATCTCTTTTTATTTACTTTGTTTAAGCCCACTTTAGAAAGCCATCTAATGCTAAGTGAAAAACTGTTATCTACTAGAGTATCTGTTTAGGGAATTGCCTCCATGCTCCTGAGCAAGCTCTCTTGCCACTAGCAAGCAGAGCTGTATCTATGCCACATGTACACCTACATGTATGCTTGTTTCAATACAAATAATATCGATTAATTGGGTTAACTGTTTCACTGTCGTTTTAGAAAACTTCCCCATAACGTACCAACAACTCTTGTGTTATAGTAGTCAGGTAGCATACGTTCACACAGAGCCACCAGCAACCAGAAAGCTTCTTCCTCTTTTGCATAAAGGAGGAGTACTGAAGTGACAATATTCATAGCCTAAAAGGAAGAAATATAAATTGCTAGATTCATTTATTCAGTATCTCACACAATAATCAGGCAAGTAAGTGGTTACTACAGTTAGGAAATTAGCTACCTCTCCCCCTGCAGACCCCAAACTGTTCAAGTATTTTCCTGTAAAAACAGCAGGCAGTGTTCTTCCCACTGCTCAAAGGAAGACTTAAGAAAGCCTCAAATAAACCACAAAAAATTGTTAGGTTTGGGGTTTGGATTTTTAAAGAAAAAAAAAAGATTTTTTTTCATAATCAAGTGCCTCCTCAGGTCTGCAAGCATCCAGCTACTCTGCTACTGATACTCCGCCAATAGGTGGAGGCTCTCTTGGGGAATCTGGGTCTGATGCAGACAAAGGTCTCCTATAGCACACTAATGATGGGTGCTGCTGTACCACGCCTTGCAGAGGCAGTCTGCACTCCCCATGCTTTCTGCTCCTAGGAAGAGGTCAAGACACAGCACCTGTGAGCTGAGGCAAATGCCTGCAATAGTGTCAGTCACAAGCAACCAGAGTATAGTGAAAAAAAGTCTTGCTGTTGCTCACTCTCCAAGTTTGACTGTATACGCAAGTTTTTTATGGCTGTTTCACTTCATTTCCAATATCACAGCACTGTATAATGACCTCTGAATTGATGGCTTACAGCCTTTGCTTAGACCTCTGTTAGTCTGAAGAAATAAAGTATTTCAATAACGTTTTCTTCTTAGTTTGTCTCCTAAGGAATTAGCTGCTCATTTCAAATCCTGTAACATTTTAAGACTCCAGCTTGATCATTACCAGCTTGAAACAGCAACTAAGTTTTCAACTGAAACTCAGAACAACTCTGCCAAATTCTGTGGTATTCCTTTTCATCTTGTCTACCATATATGAAATACTTGCATGCCTGAATTCTATCTGTAACTGTGAATCAGCATTCTGAATGTTATGGATCAAGTTGAAGGCTATTAACAATTCCTGTGACAGCTTTAGGAACCAGAACCAGTGCCTTTCTACTGTTTCTCTGTTAAACAACTTTACAAAAAGTCTATTATTTAGTATTATATTTGTTATTAAATAATTTATGACAGTATCTGTTAGAATTGCTTGCACTTTCTCTTACTCATGTTGTATCTAGGAGTGCTAACAGTCAGACATTAATCAGGCTTCTTAATACTCATGAATTCAAGTTTCCTTTTTGCAAAAATTGGTAGAAAGGCAAAAAAAAAGGGCCCAGGTGGTAAGTCAAAGTTACATAGCAAAAAAGAATGATTTGGGACCAGGCATTAAAGTGACTTGAATCACAGGCATAAGAACTCCCAAACCATGCACTGGTCAGCATTAAGTCTATAGATAAATGGTTGTGATACACAGTGATATCTTCTAGGGTGCTTTATTTTTATTTTTCAGTTTTGTTTGGAATGATTGAATAGCATCATTGAAAAAAATAAAGGAGGTGTTCTGGAGGGTTATTACAACTAATACACTGAGTAAGAAGGTAAAAATTTTAGGCTCAACAATTAAAAGTTGGGGTTTTTTTCCTGCTTAGAAGAAAAAAGAGAACTATTCTTCAGGGTTCATTTTTCATTCTCTGTAGATATACATCAGGACAGCTCTGTTATCCTCTGCCCAGTCTCTAGATTTACGAGCAGAAAATACGCTTACAGAAAACTATGCACATCTCAGCATGTGCTGCTAATATTTCTGTTAAGAGTAGGTCCTTGTGTCAAATCCCTCTGACCTCAGCATTACTGTAACTTTGCAGCATGGAGGCTTTACCTCACAGCATTATACACACATCGGTGTGCTTTACACAGCCAAATACTTGTGTACAGGACTGAAGAAACAGGAATCTAAGGAATGAACTGGAATTCCAGAAGTTGAAGGAGAGTCAAGGTATTTCATTTACCTGACAATATCCTATGTTTGGATTCCTAAAAGCATAAGCTGTCAAGACTCTCCTTAGAGCAGCAATACCCATCTCATTCTGGAATGCGGGGTGTTCTGGAAGCGAGCGGTGCAGATCCCTCTCTATCTCTTCTGTAGCAAGATTATACTTCCCCATCGATTTCTCCACTAGGTCCTCATAATAGCCAGGATGAGTGGCCATTTCATTAATGGCTCCTGGGAGTGGGAGAACAGTATTAAAACCAGAAGAAAAAAAGCAAGTGTGAGCAGATACAGTATCCCAGCATGATGATCTTCTGCTACCCTTTCATCTTGAATGTCACCAACAAGGACTTTGAAAGCAAATATGAAATGCTATTTTTGCAAAGGTGATTAGAAAAAGAAAAAAAGTATGTGCTTAGGTGATTGAGACATCACCCCTTCTTGTTTTCTCCTCTAGAGACATTTTACAATGAGGTTTAAAAAAAAAAATTTATATATATATAAAAAAATATAAATAAAGCCTCTCTTTTTCAGCTTGAATGAAACAGGAGGCTTGAAGAACAAACCAGCTGTGCAGTCACATGGTATCATGAGCTCTCTCTGCAGCTGGCTGTGGGTTTGACTATCCTAAATAACTCAAAACATGCCTCTGAAAAAGCTACTTGCCCTGAGAAGGGAGTAGATTAATGTTTGATTGCAGAAAGTATGACATCTCAGCCAAAAGCAAGAGACAGGAACTCCTGAGCTCTCTTCCTGCTTCTGAAAATAACTGTCATCTCAGGCAGGGCACTTCGTCTTAGGAATGCTATCACATGCCTGCTGAGTTACTGTGAGATTTCACTACTGACCAAAATTCTGGAAATTAAAACCTCATCAGCAAAGGAAATCAAGTGTCAGTATCACAAAGTAATACACATTGAAAATACTAGTTACATATACACCATGAAAATTGGTCCAAGTTAGCTGTTAAGCAGACACAGGACAGATCTGTGCGTTCCTGTGTATATTTTCTGAAAACATTTGTTTAATGCCCAGAAGCTAAAAGCTGGTGTACAAAATTAAGCATTATTAGGGAAACAGAAAACCAACCAGAAAGCATCATTAGGTTATCATATAAAGTCCCTGGTGTGCGCGTATCCTAAATGGCGTGGATAGCTGTGGTAACTATCTTGGAGAGGGGTAGAGCTAGACAAGGCATACAGTAAGTGAAAAGTTATGAAGAAAGCCTGAGGTATGGGCTGATTTCCACATAACCAGTAACAAAATGAATAAAAGTCAGCTTTGACAAAAAAACGCATAAGGGGATACAGATCTAGAAAATCCTTGATGGCAGAGAAGATGGGCAGAAATATTTTCACAGCTTTTTTCACATACTGGAAGCATCTAATAAAATCATAAAGGAACTTTTCTTTTTCATTATTTAAAAAAAAATAAATATAGTAGTTCCATGCACCATGCTTAAACTTTAGAATTCCTTGCAACAACTTGCTGTGAAGGCCAAAAGCTTAATTGTGTTGAGAAATGATTAAATAAATGGGAACTAGTCCTGCTGGTGGTTGCTGAACATCTAGTAGACCCCAGATTGATGGCTTCTGGTAAAGAGTGTGTGTTCTACTTTTTTTACATTCTTCCCTCATTCTTTAAGCCTGTTTGAGAAAGGGTATTTACTGGTTTAATTAGAACTTTTGTCTAAACCAGTCTGGTACCTGCTGACAGTCATAACCACACTTGCTTCAAATGTTTTTAGATGTTTATTATCTGTACCTTTAAACATCTTTGAAATCCTTTCTTCCCTCAAGACTTTTGATTATATCCCACAGTCACGGAAATACCTACCTGAAAACAGTAGCCAAAGTTCCCCTCTCATGCTTTCTGGAATGCCCTTCAGCACAAGGTCTCTGGTTTTCTCTGTACGATACATACAGACTCCTTGGCCATATTCAGCAAAGTGAATCTTCCAGGCCTGTTCCTTCAAAAACTCTTTAGCCTTAAAAAAAAAAAAAAAAAAAAGGCAGGCATAAAGATGCAGCTTCTCCTTCTAACACTTTGTCCCACTGAAGCACGAAGTGCTAATAAGCCTGCAACGTCTTAGCTTTCCAAGGGAGCAAGAAATAACTGGGCTACAGTCCAATTCTCTTCTTAATGGGCTGCCTCTTCCTATTCCTTAGTTTCCATCCCAGTAGACTTTGTTGTTAAAAGAATATTGTTGAAGCAGTTGTACTTAGGAGCAGGCATATAACCTCTCCTTAATTTACATCCAGTTCTGCTTTTTATGTAGTGAAGTTTTTTGTGCTGGTAAAATGACAGCATACTCAGTGCTTTATTTCTGTGAAAAATATTGCCTCTTAACTATCTGTGGCAGAACAAAACTCCTATGGGTCAGAAACATGGATTTTAAAGAAAACATGATGTAACAACTTTTTCAGTAGGCTACAACATTCAGAGGTGTATTTTACCAGCTTGGGGTTGAACTCCTCAGGTGACCTCCGCCGATACATTGTCATTAAAGCTTGAGTTGCTGTTGGAATGCCATTGTCATTGAGATTGAATTGGCGCTCTCCCTCTGACTCAGAGCTGAGGCTTTTATGAGGGCTGGCAGAAATTAAACTACTTGATCTTGTAAACACCTGTAGAAAGCAGTTACAAGCAATAGAGACATGGGGCTGAGCTAGAGTCTGGATGTTTTATTAAATTTTACTTCAAAATCTATACATGCTGCTAACAGCTAACAAAAATGTGAGCAAACTAAATCACCCAGGTACATTCACACGCTGAGCATATGACAGCAGAAATTAAACCAGTATAGAACAATGAAATTGTTCTCTCTCCCCACCCTGGACCACCTATAATTGGAATTGCTAAGGTAGTGTTAACTTTAAGTAGCCCTGGGCAATTAAAACAGCTCTCTTGGTCTCCAGTCAACACCACAGGACTGCTGACTCCCCAGAATATAAGATGCATATAGAACATATATTTATATGTGTGTGTACATATACACACACACATTTATATCTGTATAGGTGTTTATACAGACATACACAAAATAAATTATTTTGTTCCCCTCATTTAAAAAATGTTCTACAGAAAATTCAACACGGTCAGATTGTGATTTGGAAAAAAAAAAATAAAAAAAAGGATTTTCTGACTTCTCAACAGCTTGGAAAGTTTGTCACAGTAAGATCTCATATAACAGTTCACACCAAACACCTGAAATTGTAATTAGTAGTCATGTTACTAAATGTAATAATAATGCTTGCAATTATTTATTTGTGTTTACAATTCAGTAGGTAGAATACGTAGATCCATTTAGGGCAGAAGGCAAGACAAAGTATCAGCATTATATGTATATGTGCCCTGGTATTCATCTACAACAACACACTACTTATACTTCACTATGATCACAAAGCAAGTAAAAAACTGACTTTTAAGATTTACATAGCAAACAGGGTAGGGCTACTCAGCACAATGCTAAGGTATGGCTTTGTACAGACTTGGAATGTGAGATCTACCTAGATAAAACCAAAATGCTACACCACGAAAGCCTTTTCTGCTTTGAGATCTGAACTGCTAAACTTTGCTGGGTTTAACAGATCTGATGAGGTTGTGATATCAAGCCCCTCAACTTCATATATAAAACCTAGGAATTCAACAGAAGCCTGAGGAAAGTCTATCTAATCATATGTTTTAAGAATGGTTTACTTTGCACAGGTAAATAGGGAGGTCGTTCAGGATAGTGCCATCTGATGTCCAGGGCAGGGTTTGGGTGCTTTTTTTGTTAGTTCAAATGTTCCAAAGTTTGCTAGCAGTGGACACGCAAACTCACTCAGCTCAGACACCGTTTTCTGAAGAATCAAAGGGTGAGATTTAGCTGCTAAAGTCTTGAATAAGAAGAGTTTCATATCAACTCATAATTTCTTCAAATTATTAAAATTCCACAATTGTATTTTGACTTGGACAAGTTGATAGATACTAAACAGTATTATTCAATTATCCAGTTAGTTAACTATCAAGCTTTCCAACAAGATACTGTAATTTCAGGATGTGGCAGCAAGAGTTAGAGTAGCTCTTCCACAGCAATGGTGATCTGTCTTAGGCCTAACATGAAAAAAACAGATACCCTAATTGTAACATTTTCACTGTTCAGTTAAAGGAAGCTAAAGGCATTAACACAAAACAAGTAACATTTCTGTGTACAAAGGTTTAGATTTACCAAAACCTTAAAGGTTTTTCCTGGCTTCTCTCACCCCCCACCAGTTAAAATCCCCTTCTAGTAAACAATTTGTGTTCAACCACATACCTCATCATCTGAGCTGATATAGCTTCCAGAAATATTTTTGTCCAAGTATATTTTTGAAGTGGTTTGTTGCAGGAAGTCTGAGATCCTCTGTACAAGAAAGTCTCTGTCTTTTAAGTTGGCAAAGAGGAATGTCATTCTGTTTTTTGTGCTGATTGATAATGGGCTGGGCAACACACTGGAGCTGTCTGCCTTCTCCACTATTGTCACCTAGGGAGAAACAGTAGCTAAAGGTTAAGATCTTTGATTAATCAAGTTGCTTGGTCTAAGAAACCATCTTAATACAATAAACCCACATCCCCTCTTCCCTTATATTGAATCACTATGGACATCCCTCTGAGGGAGAACAGAATTTGGATACAAGGACTTAGAAGTCTGAAAGATGAAGATGTCATACCTCAAACAACTGGCTTCAGTACATTCTCCAGCAAAACTCCTTTGCACTGCTAAGTTTATTTTCCTCAGGCTTTATTTTAAACAAATCAGTAAAACAAAATTTCTTCTATGGAATGTGAATCTATAGGCTTTTTTGTAGGATCTCTGAATTCCTCTCCTGCTTCCCAACACCAGTACAGACTGAATCGGATTTCTGCTTGCTTCTTATTGCCAATATATGTGAATAAGCCATTTTTGGGGTAACACTTCTGTTCTACTATATTATAGTTGCATACTGTGGTAACAACTGCTATTGCAATGGTACTTTCGTGGCACACAAACCTGCAACAAATGGAAACTAACCTCATGTCTCTCCTTACAAAGGAAAACATCTAACCGTGTGAGGTGGAGGTTTCTGTTTGGCCTTCAAGTGTTAGTGAAATGGTCACTAATCTAACTGAACTCCAACCTGTAAACAGTACTCACACCACAATCTACTGAGTACAGGGCAGTAGTTCCCTGAGCTTTTGGTAAAGTGTGTTAACACAAAGAAATCTCAAGGATAAGTCATACACTGTGGATCGATTATGTAACAGCTGTGTGTTCTACGCATGACCAGTTACTAGCCTTAAAAACAAACCAATCAATCAAGTTTGTGCAGTTCATACCTTGAACAAAACACAGATCACAATTTTAAGTATTTTTAATGACTGGTTTTGTGACTTTAAGCAATTTCCTAGGTAATAAAAACTCTTACTGCCTTCAGAATAGAACAGGGCATATTTCAGTTTACTAGGACCTTTATTTTGCTCTTTTAAATCCTTTTAAAAATAGAGATCAATGCTAATGTATCAGTGCTATAATATTAATATCTCTCTAGCTAAAAGGCTAGGACAACCATTCTTCACACATTTCCTTTGAAGATGTATTTAAAGACTGCAATGCACAGCCTGGGTAACTAAATCACTTTTCTATCCTTCCAACTTTTATTTCTCTGTTAACTACAAATCTATTAGTTATTCATTAACTTAAAGGACCTTCACTAATAACATATTCAAATTAGCTAAAAAGTGTGCCCATGTTCTTTTTCTGCTCCACTTAAAAACTGTTTGAGTGTAATCAGTACAAAAGACAGACAAGTTCTAGAGGCACAGGACAGACGTCACAGGAAGCATGCTTGGCCATAATGAGAGCTGATACCCACTTCTATTCAAGTAGACACAAACATACATGTAACTGAAGAGATGATCTTGGAGAGTGCACCTACTGGGTGCAGTGAGCAGTGCAATCAGCTACTGAAAAGCATCTCTTCTGATCATCATTTCTGAATCAATGCTTTTTATTGTTTCATCTGTCAAAACTTCTCAAGGATATCACAGAACACTGGAATTAGGTTAGGGTCTGACTCAAAGTTTTAATTAATAAATAGAAAGCTTCCCTTTAATTATTAAGGGTACTGATCAGCTGTTCTGAGGCCTGGTGCTACTCAGTGTGTTACTGTTCTCCTTGCTGGTGCTGAGACTTAACCTGTTCACACAAAAGCACTAATTCCCCCTCAGCTATTTCTCTTAAAGCTTTTGAGCTGCTTTGAATCCCATCCTGCTGCAGCTGTGATTATCAAAAACAGTTGCTGAATCTGCATCCAGGAATAAAAGTCCTGTTAAATGCAGACCCTGTTCTTCTTCCCCACCATTTTACCTGCAGGACTTGTTGCCTTGGAGTTGCAGATAAATAGTGCAACCACTATCGAATGTCCCTTCTCAAATAACGAAAGTCATTGCAACACACTGTGGAGAAGTTGTACTTCAAAGTTTCCAAACAAATATATTTGTTTTTATTCTTAATGATTTGTGGTGCCCTGAAATATTCCATGATTCTTCAGTCAAGCCAAACGGTCCACAGCTACATCATCTTTACTACTGCTTCCAAGACTTACTTTACACATTCTTCCATTAACCCATAAATCAAGTCAGTCATAAAAAAACCTCCCCAGCATAGGTTTTTTTATTGCATCATACTTAAATTCTTTTTATTGAACATCTGCTTTAAGAATCCAGCTTTAAAAAGGGAACACCCATTTGTAAAATGCTGACAAATACTTTCCATATAAAGGAATAAATGATCGCAAGTCTGTGTGAAGAGACAATTCAAATCTTTAGGCTTATGAATTTTTTTTACATCTGACAAAAGCACATCTATCTTTAATAGAAGTTCCACTCATCAATCTAGGAGGTTCTATCATCCGTCTCTCCCTACAAGGCACAAAAAAATGTAGTAATGGGGCTGTAAATCATAATAAATTGTAGGAGAGGAAGGACTCATGAGGGTTGTAAAAACTGACAGGGAAAACTCCCTGTGAATTTTAGTAGTAGGAACTTTGAACTAAGATACACAGTCATTAAATATTACTTAGAACACATCAGAACAGTATGCTCACAAGAAATGAAAGGGATGAAAAGAGGTTTTTCTCCAACAATGAAAAAAAATCAAAGCTAAGATGCAATTTCCAATAGGATGCTGCTTTATTATCTGCCCTATAAATTTACAAATACAAATATTTACCTCTCGAAGAGGGATAATAAGGCTGCACAAGTTCTCCTCTTTACTAGTAAAGCAAATGTAGTTTGTAGAAACAAACATCTGACCCAAAATATGCATTTTGTTGAATGGAGTCCAGAGAGTACAGTCTGTGTGTCCATCTAATTTCTCATCCTTGGGAAGTCGGAACAATGCACGGTATCTCTCACTCTTTGCTCTGGCATCAAGATCCCTAAAAAAAAACCCCACAGAAAGCTCTTCTTGTTTTAAGAAATACATAATGCATTTTAAGATGTATTTTATACAAATCATTGTAAGCTACCTGCAATATACAACTCAGTTAAGCACTGAGTGCACAACAAAACAGTGGAAACAGTTTGCATATAGGGGGATGTATAGTCTCTGCTGGTGGAAGATTCTAAAACTACATTTTAGAAATTATGCTACAAATGACTTGGATACATTGAACCTGACTTCTCAGAAGGGCAGGCTGAGTAATCTTTTGACATTCAGTCCTACTTTCTGAGAAGATATACAGTGAATCCATTTATTATTGAACAACACATAACCCCATGTAACAGTACACCAAAAATGCTCCTTTGAAGCTTATTTATTAATCTTTAGGGCTAGAGTTTGTTAATAATTTCAAGACTTAGTCTTGATACTGCATTCAGTGCAGAACACTGGTTAGACAAGTGATACAATGCATGTCAGATGTCACTAAGAAACGAGAAATATAAACAAGCACTGTATGGTTCTGTATGGTTCACTAACACGATCAATGAAAAAGTTAACAAAAAACTAACAAATTGCAGTACGGTGTCTATAAAAGAAGCAGAAATATTTGCCAGAACTTTATGTCATTTTTTGATTATCTAAAATAAGTTCTAGATACAAATTATCACTTACAGTAATTTTTAAATTCCATTTATAGGGCCAAGTATAAATATTAGACACATTTTTTAACACTTAAATCACTTTATGACCTTCCCGAGTAACATAAAAGAGCCTTACAACAGATACGTTAAAGACCTTCTGAAAAAAACAGAATTTGGCTCCAACGGGTCTCTTATTTTTGCAACATGCTCCTATTCAAATGTTTTCCTTTCCTATTTCAATAAGAGACCAAGTAATTATATTTAAATAATTTTTCACATTTTGCTACTGCTGGAATCAATCATTCCTTCTGGAACAACAATAAACGACAGCAATGTTAGAAAACTTTTGGACAAAATGTTGCAAGTAAAAGGACTGAGGAGAAACAAATGACTAAGAGCCAGTGCTACCTACCGTTTTAGTGCAGATACTTTTTTGGGAGATTTCTTCTTCAGTTTGGGTAATGACCTGTCTTGTTCAAATCCTTCATTGTCCAAAAGCTGTCGCATAGCTATATTGGCAAGCTGTTCCATTAGTTTAAACGTCTCACTGATATTAAGGAACACTGAGAAGAAATGTTCACTTGACCTTGTGCTCACTTTTATCATATCAGGGAAGAGCAGTGTAGCATTCTTCTCAAGTTGAGTGATATCAACCCAGCGGATAACTAACTTCGCTGAACAGAAGCAAACAAAAAAAGATTCAGTACAAAAATTAGCATAGTCAAAAGCATTTATCACCATCTTCCTATAAAACGTATTCAGCTGAAATTTTCTTGAATCTTGAAAAGTTGGGAGGACAGCATAGACAGACCCAGCTTGTACAAAGAAACTAGGATCACCTGACAAACAGCAGATAAAAGTTTAAATATCATTTACTTCTGTACAGAACACCCACAAAAGCATTATAAAGCTAGGTGGGCTAACATCATTTATCACTGCCATGGCACTTGCTCAGAATCTGATGTCCTCTTTTGCTAACAAAAGCAACGAAACATAGTTTAAACGCATTAGATGAGCTTGCATTATTTTTACACATTAAAAAGGTTTCAAATGTTACAGTAATGACAAATCCTTGGTTTTTCTTCCAACACCACTACAGGTTAGGATATTGTCCTTAAAATGGGGAGTAAATCTACAATGCAGTCATTCACTGGGTTATGACTATACACCTAAACAGAAAGACTTGGGACTGATCCATTGCCCATAACCAAGTACTGCAGACTCACTTGGCCCCACACTGCTTAGAATTAACTCCCTCTAAAGCAGACTGGTTGCATCCACACTATGTAGTTCTTGACCCTGGGTGTCCTCTGAGCCCTTTGTGATGCTCAGATGTTGTATAAGAGTATATGTGGCATTTGAGGTTGCGAAGTCTGCCAGAGTAGCACTGAAGGATTGTACAAGAGCAGAAGGAGCCAAAACTGGTATGATCTCATCCCTATGCCCCATTTTGAGCACAGCCCCTGAAGCGAACCATACCTCTAAACGATGCCCAGGTATCGTTCTACAGAGAACTACTTTCAGAAATACAAAACAAACAAGGGAGCAAGCGCACAGTTAAGCGACGTGACAGTCAGGGAAATGCTCCCTGCTCCTCTTTTCCTCAGCAGTGTGTTTGCACCCTCAGCAGCTCAGCAGGTGAACAGTAATAAACGAGACAAGATTTCCTAATCATTCTTAGATGCACAGACCACCATTCCACTGTAAAACGTACCTTCCCTGCCCATGAGAAAAGAGTAAAAGCAAAGGTGATTAATGCTGAGATACACCCAGCCCTGACGGGGAACCTTGCCCTTCCAGTAACTGCAGGAGTAGTAGTTCACTAATTTCTCTTCTTCTGGCATCCCAAATAGCTTGTGAAATTTCACAATGGCTTCCTTGAATTTTTCTGTATCATCATCCTCCTTGATGCCATTGATTTTGTTGTACTCAGCGATGATGCCCTAGTAGGGAGTGAAAGTAGTACATAGCATGTTAGTTGCCATGGGGTATCAGATATCCTTATTAACATTACTGTCTGGGCCAGAGACCACAAAAAGACTTTCTTGACATTGCAGTAACTTATCTTATCTCTTATTCTTCTGCTCATTCTTTTGCTTATATAGTTATTTACTTTATTCAAGGCTGTCTTCTGATGACCTTGCTCCTTACCATGCCTATGTCAAAAGCAACCAAACACTAACCACTTGCCAGTACCCTGTTTTAAATTAACCAGCCTATCATAAATAATCCTATCAACTCCGTAAAGCACCTGTGATTTGTAATATGCACCTCTCCCATGTAAACATGCTTCCTGAGGAGACAGGGATAGCATTTCATGAGAAAATTTTCTTATAACAGGAAGGAAAAAAGTTATCTATTAGGGAAAATATCAAACAACTTTTATGACCCCTCTTAGTGGACCTTGAGCAAAAGAAAAGAGCAAGATAGTGAAAAATAAATATCTCCCATTCTATTAACTGGCAGGATGGAAAAATCATTGACACTTTCAGGTGCAGAGATCTTAATCAAATCTGAAGTGGCAGCAGTCTGGCAAAAAGCTGTTTTTTGATACCTCAAAGACTACTGTTCCTTCTGTCCTATACTGAAGTTCTGGTCTACTCATTTATTTTCTCAATCTCTTATATACATCTTCTATGTTGTCTTCTACATGAAAGTTTAAGAGGAAGGTGACTTCTAGCATCAAATTGCTCCATATTTACATGGAAAGCCGAGTATAAGACAGCAAATCACCATTCACATTTAATATTTGTCCAGCTCTAAAAAGTAACAATTTCCCTAAAGGATTATACTTCACAAGACAGATGTCTTCTCACATAAGGTGTTTCCATGGTTACCTATAGCCCTCATACCTGATTCACTAGTAAAACAGAAATAACTAGCAGATTCTCAAGACAGCTGACTTACTACATGAAATGTTAGAAGAGGAATGAGACAAAGCCAATGCTTAGAATACACACCAAATAAGGAGAGTAATCTTGCCTACAACCAATTTTTAATCCAAATATTTATTTTTAGATTTGTTTTGTGTGGATAAAGTACTTTTTCCCAGTATAACTACTGTGCCTCCTATAAGGAGAAAAATAAATTCTCAGGAAATCCTAAAACGTATATGAAGTATAAATGTCAACACTACAGGATTTAACTACACAGAAGAGGGTAACGAGACATTATACGATGAGTGCTTAAAAAAATTTAAAGCTTTGCACTGGCAAAGCAGTTACATCGAAAACTCGAAGTTTAAGACAGAAGCAACAGTGCAATTAGTTTTAGAACATATGTTTGAAGTCCTGCATAGATATAGATATATAGATATATATATATATATGTATATGCATTATTTTAATCACGCTGCTGTAGTACATGTGCACTAATGCCAGTTTCTCTAATTTTTACACACATGTTGCTACTTCAAATGTGGTTTTCCTTGAAGAATGTGTAGCAGCCTGGAGACTACCAGGTCAGATTTTTTAGAATTCACATCCGTTTTCCTACCACAATCATATTATTATAAATGTCATTAATGATAAATGTATTTAACTACCTGTATTTTTCCTCTGACAAATGTATTTATGTCATTCTCATTTTCAAAGATTGAAAGGGTCTGCAACAAATTCTGTTCAAGCCATTCCCAGTGCTCAGTGATTTCCTTCCTTGAACAACCTGTATATATAAAAACAACCAAAAAGTCACATAATCAATAATTCACCAATGTCAATGTCCTCTTAATCATAAACAAGACCTGTAAAACTTGCCAGTAACTGGAGATACAATACTTCACCAGATGGTGTATTCCTGGAAATTCAAAAATCTCCTCCCATAGTTTTTAATTTCATAATAAATATGTAGCAATCTTCAAGACTATTCTGTGAAAAGCACAATCTACTCATGTCAAATATCATGAGCAAAACTCTCCTACATTTAGAATTCTAACCACAGTAACAACATTGAGCTGTCCAATGTCACATTAAAGAGTTAGCATAGGTATTACCTGCATCCGTTAGGAACTGACAAAAAACACAACAGTTGCATATTCTACCATTGGTTCCTGATTATATACATCTATAAATTATGAAACAATAAAATTTCAAGAATAAGAGCTGAAAAGGATAATTTTTCTAACAAGTCTATTACAATGTCTCTTCCTTAAAAGAATAGTGCTGAAGGACCTCTAAGCTGTAACATTTTAGGGGAAGAGGGTTGTCAGAGGTGGCTTATTTCTGATGATGAAAGAATAAACTAATCTTTGATGACCCTAGTTTACTTAGGAGACCAAAAGGGGTCAAGTGAGATACCTCTGATATTGAGGAACCAGCATACATGTAGTCTGTAAAGCAGTACAGAAGAGGGATGAAAAAGCTTCTTGTATGAAATAGAGTATGTATGTAAATTTGTATATTTGTAAATATATACATATTTGTATATTTGTAAATTTTTGCTTCTATTTTACTTGAGATGAATTGGAATCACAGAATCAAGGTTGGAAAAGATACTGAAGATCATCTATCACAGTCCAACCATTAACCTCACACTGACAGTTCCCAACTCCACCAGATCCCTCAGCGCTGGGTCAACCCAACTCTTAAACCCCTCCAGGGATGGGGACTCCCCCCCTGCCATGGGCAGCCCATTCCAACGCCCAACAACCCCTTCTGGAAAGAAATACTTCCTAATATCAAGTCTAAACTTTCCCTGGCATAACTTGAGGCTATTCCCTCTTCTCCTATTGTTTGTTACTTGGTTCAATAGACTCATCCCCAGCTCTCTGCACCCTGTAGAGGGCGATGAGGTCTCCCCTCAGCCTCCTCTTCTCCAGACTAAACACCCCCAGCTCCCTCAGCAGGTCCCCGTACGACCTGTGCTCCAGACCCTGCACCAGCTCCGTTGCCCTTCTCTGGACACGCTCAAGTCATTCCATGTCCTTTTTTGCAGTGAGGGGCCCAAAACTGAACCCAGGAATCGAGGGGCGGCCTCACCAGTGCTGAGTACAGGGGTGAGATCCCTTCCCTGTCCCTGCTGGCCACGCTATTGCTAACACAAGCCAGGATGCCATTGGCCTTCTTGGCCCCTGGGCACACTGCTGGCTCATGTTCAGTTAACTCCTGTTCTCAACATCCTTATGAATATATTGGTGCTCTTCAGGATCTCTCTGTGCCCACCCTGAAAGAAGAACGAATTTAAGCACTCACACACACAAAAAAAGTCATGTTCTCCCTCCCCAAGATGTTGATGGAATTCTGTAAAAACTGAGACTTTAAGTAAGTGTTTTCAGAAAACAAACATTACATGTCCACATAGGAACACCTGCACTTGAAGCCTGATTAAAGTATCTCAATCCAGGTAGGAAATAGCATCAATACTATGGCATCTTTTTGTTCAAATCACAGATTTGGCTCATTTTACTCAGAACTAGGAAGTAAATGTACCTACCTGCTAACTAATCCCTACAGAACCCTACAAACTGGAGGGGCTCTTGTGAAGCAACCATTAGAAAGAGGTTAAATTACAACAAGCTGTTTGTAACAACTTCTTCAGCTTCACTAGAGGCACAAATTGTCACGTCTGCACATAAGCGTTGCAGTGGTTTGAAGAACAACTCAGTGCAACCATACTGAATAAATACCAAACAATTGTTTTCCCTGCTGTTCAGCAACAAATGAAAGGGGAAAATATTCTTTCTATGGTATACAGAGTTTTACAACACATCTCCAATAAAAGCAACAGAATTGAGCATTCTGTGCAACTTCCAGGGGAATTTCTCAATTCTAGTTGTTGTATGGATAGGTAAATCATGATGCAGAATAGGCTGAGTATTGTAAGCAATATTTCAGAACCACAAGTGATTGCTGCTGCTGCTTCTTTTTAAAACCATTGGATGCAGCTAGACCTTTCTGGAACTCAGGAGGTGGTCTGAAGACTAATTTGTTTCTTCTTGGCTTTTACACTGCTGTAAAAAGCAATGATAAAAGAATGAGCTATGTATGTAAGACTAGACTGTCATCAGAAATATAGCTCATCTCTTCAAGAGCAGTGACAAGCAGTGCAGACACACTATCATGATGAACTATTTCCTAAAGCTGCCTATTTCTTGTTTGTGGTTCATCAATTATTTCTCATCACTTCTTATGAAACAGCTTTGATTATTCCGAACCTGTAACAATCCATCTCATTGTTTCCACTGCTTTTTGTCTCCGCTATCTTACTGTTTACTCTCCCTGTCACATCTACAGCGGATCATGCAATCAGGCCAAAACCCACACCCCAGGTCTTATCAATTTATCATCACAGTCTATATCTTTCTCTTTGCTTTGTTCACCCAGAATTAAAACATACTTCTGCAATGTTTTAAAGTGCAAGGTCTATCTTAACTCTGCTACTGGCAAGTCTTTGACTATCTTAGCATATTAGAAGCATTAATCATATCGCCATCATTGGCCTTTAACTCTCAGGGAAAGGAAAATTAGCCATTTGACAGTTAAGCCACTGCACTTTGCAGCTCTCAAGACGGGCAGGAAATAAAAGAGAAAGTAGCTACAATGCATACAGTAGGCTACCAATCACTCCTTCCCCTTCTCTAAATGCTACATTCAGCTTATGGTGTGCTCCATGGCTGAAATACTGTAATGCTGACCAGTACCCCTGGTAGACTGAGCTATTCTCTTCAGTCTTCAAGGAGGAAGCTAAGAAGCATGTTAAACAGAAGTTGGAGAGCTGGATGGAGGAAGGATGCACAGTGCTGGAGAGAGGATGAGAAGGGGCAGGTGGAGCAGAGTAACAGCATGAGCAATGTGGGAAGAGCTCTGCCTGTCAGGGTTAGGTTTCTAGCATCTGGGTTGGTTTGTCTAAGGTAAGAGGTGAAGGATGTGACCAAGTTTAGGGCTGAGAAGAAAATTAACAAGTCATATAAACAGGCTTTCAAACACACTCAGAAGTATAATCTTTGTATTGTTTCAGTTAGTGACTGAGGAATAAGAATGGCTTGAGGCACCTAGTGAGGCTGTCATGTCCAGTCTTCTTTTCAAAAGGAGATACTTACCTGAGATGTCTATTAGTCAGCCTGAACTGCTGCCATTAACAGAATGCACTGCAAGAGAACCTGTAACACTTCATGAAGCCTAGAACTGTTCTTGCCAGTAATGGCAGGTTCAGGAGTACACTGGCAAAACCTCAACTAGTTACAGTTACTGACAAAACCTCTACCTAGTTACAGCTAGTAAACTCAACAGCACTCTTAACTAAGACTTGTAGCTTTGTTAACCGGAGCACATGGTCTTCTCTGAAAACCTTTCCCAAGGCATGTTATAAAATGTCAAGGTTGAGGTTTTAAAATAATCTGCAATTCATTTTTTAAACATGTGAAATACAGATTTATAAACTTGTATGGAAATGCATGAGTACTGTTACAACAAAAAACCTACAGCAATAGTTCTATACCTGAAAAACACACAAGGCCATAGTAAGAATGACTGATTTTATAGGTGGAGAAGTATCTAAAAATTAAAAGTTATTAATTTCCAGAATTTACATATACTAATAATATTTTTCCTGCTAAATTGAGCATTAGCAGATGGGGGAGGAACACTGACACAGGACACAGAATGGCTACTACAGTATGCAAGGCTAATCACGTACAACATGTTGGAACTGTCCTTGAAAAGTTACCAATAACATTTTTCCAGTATAGTTCAACAGACAGAACCTGTGACATCTTCAACACAGCACTGCATAAAGTGCTGTTAACAAAACTCCCTTACAGAGCTATAAAGCCTCAGGTTTACCAGCTAGCATTCTCATACAGGCTAGATCAGTAGTTAATACCCAAGAAAATTCACATCCAAAATGAATTATAAACAAACCTGGGGTCTAAACATAACTTAAATAGCCATTTCAGAGCAAAGAAAACCTCTTAGATTATTTTTCACCCTTGGAAGAGTCTTGTACAGAACAAGACCAAATGTCATGCAGCATGAATGAACCAGGAAATAAATCATTTTTACCACTCTGCATAGCTGCTTACTGGAGAGTATGGCTTTATGGAAGGCAGAGGAGAATGTGACAGATTTCTTTAAAAATAAAAAGATTACAGGTACCAAATAACCAGCAGTCTACCCTAAGGAACGGGGAGGAACAGCTGTACAATTCAGACATATCAAGAGTTGCATAGCTAAATGCAGACAAATCCCTTAGTAACTTGGATCACAGTAACAACCCTTGAACAGTTCAAAAGGAATTGCTATGGTTGCAACTTCACAAAATAACCACAGTGCAGAGCTTTAGGCAACACTGGGCTGCTCAGCTTCAAGGTTGCGTAGATAAATAATTTGCTCTCTGTAAAATTTTACCTCACTCTTAAGAGCCACGCTATTTCCCTTGGGTGATGAAACTAAGCTTAGTTCAGTCCTACAGTTTAACAAAAATAACCAAGCCAAGCAACCAGCTAGACATTAGGAGACTAAAAATTCAAGAAACACTCCACAAAATGGAAGCACATAACTACATTAAATACTTCAGCAATTTCAGGATTCGTAACTGAAGAGCATGTTTATTAAAACTAGCTTAAATGTTAATAGAGTACCATATTTCTACATAAAACTTGCAATATTTGTCACAGAAGAGAAACAAAACCCTCACAGTTCAGCAGCAGCATAAGTTTATACCCATATGATACATATGTTAATTCTGTGGCCATAAATCATCTGCCTTCCATTTCGTGCCCCTGGATATCTGAGGACACGTGTTGTAGTAATAATTATAGTAATTATCTATAGGTGTCATGCAAAAAAACCCCCACGCAAATGCACTTAAAAGTCACATGGCTTACTTTCAAAGTCTTAAAAAATTCATTTCTGAACATGTGCACAGTACAAGTGTCTTTGAAGAAACACTATTTTGTTGAGAGCTTTGTGATACATTATTTTTCGTTGTAAGGGAGTCTGCAAACAGGGAGAAAATTTGCACCCAAAGTTGCTCCCTTTCAAGTTCATGGACAGAGGTGCTAAGTAATTGCTGCACACAGACGTTTGGATGAAGGCAAGACGACTGTATATGCACTTGCAACTACCTCTGCTTGTGCACAAATAGTGTAAATAAACACACTGTCAAGTACTTTTACCCTCTTTCTCATGACTGAGATCCATGGAAAGCTGACATGCAAGGTCCCCGTTACTTATGGTCAAAGCGGAGCAGCTAACAGTACAAAGCAAGCAGTTAAATGAAGATTTGGAAATGACCTTAATATTGACAACTTCATTAATATCTGTTTTTACTATTAGCTGTCACTAAAGGCAAATTATATGAATTTTAAAGTCTTCAGTGAGTTGGTACTAATAGGTGTAGAGGGACAAATGCTTGTTTAAATCGATGCCTTCTTTCAGGTCTGATACCATCAGAAGTAGCAAGAAATACTTGTGCTAAGACAAGCTATTAAAAAAAGTCCTATTGAATTCAGAATGCGACAAAGCTTTGATACCACCTCATGTGCTCATAAGAATAGAGCCTGCTTTGAACTGCTAAACTTATTAGATCTATGACAAACCTTCATCCATTTCTCCTCCTCCTCTTCTCCCACAGGACAGTGTTTGTCTGGAGGAAAAGTCATTCAAATAATCTAAATGTCAACTTTTATTGGACAAATGGGCACAGATGAGAGGGCACTGTTAGGCGAGAAGATGTCTACAGCTTCATTAACTAGTATTTTTGAATGTCAGGCAGCACTGGGGGTGCTGAGAGTTACATTATCTATTAAAGAGATGACAGGTATGTATGCACTTCTTGTCCTCTTTCTCAATTTTTTTCAGATGAACAGAGTTCTGGCTGCTGCCTAAAGCAGTGTTTGAAACTTTAGACATAAAGCAGTTGCATTCAGAAGCTTCCATTCGTTAAGACTGAAAAGTAATACTATCAAAACTGAGATTACAAGCTTGGCCAATCCTAACCACAGAAATAAGTGTTTAGTATTTACAACATCTGATGCATGCAGAAAGATTTAACATACCAAAATATCAACTTCATTGATTTCACCAACTACTATAGTGACAGAAGAAACAGTCTTACAGTCAGATCAGTCAAAGGCCAAAACTCTGAAGAGTTGTTACATCTATGTAAGAACATACACTTCTGCATTTAACTCTAACCTAGCTACCACCTTGCTGAATTTACATCATTTAGAACAACACACTGTCTGATATAAATGTCTGGGAGGTGGGCATCCCTGGGATCTAGATGGTATTTATCCTGGAGGAGACCGAGCTCACTGTCCAGGAAATGCCATACTGATATTCAGTACTCAGGTGTAAGCTGGGGTTGCACTATCCTCCCAGTTTCCATTTCAAGGGAAGCCAGGTGCCCTGTCTGGGTAATTTGGGGGCTTTAACCCAGGTATTTCTCCTACCATACTCTTTAGAGATACCCCATCACCCAGGAATGCTGCACTTCAGAAGTGCTGTAGGAGTGAGCCGTAGGCACAGAGAAGAACTTGCAAGGAAGAGGGATGGATACTAGACTGCTTGTCTGGGCACACCTGTAGGAGATGAAAGGTGGAAAATAACTGGGACTTCTGTCCCTGCTCCATGGCCATTTCTGGTTGTACTCACCCATCGTGCATAACACATACATACATGCTGGCATTCAAAATCTAAGTATTAGAAGCTCTGGAGCCTCTTAATTTAACCTCTAGAGCAGGTTTTCATCCTGACCTATTTGTCCTGAAATGACTCCGCTCAGCAGGCAGGATGCTCTATTAGTTATGTGGCACAGTATCCAGGAAGAGTAAAAACCCACATGTCAGTATGTTTGTCCTTACCACAGGCGATAGTCCAATAGACCAAGGAGTCTGGTGCTTGGTAGAGGATTCGATATGGTGCCACTCTGGCACTGGAGTCCAACACGACATCAAGAGTACCCACAAGGAGACCTATGGAACAGGAAATTGTGATGAATACACAGTGATGGATCATCCAAGATCCTACAGGAGGGGGCTCCGTAGGTTCCCCCCTTCCATTTTACCCTCCACAGCAAAATGCAGATCTATGGATTCATCCTCCCACTTGTTGTCTCATGTTATAAAGAGGGAAAGTGACTCAACAGGGAAAAATTTTCAGTTTCAACAAGACTTCAACTCTTAAATATATATCGATTCTAACATAAAGACAGATGAACTGAAACAAAGCAGAAGGTAGATGGTTTCTAACACCATGTTTAAAAGTTATTTAGTTCTTTCTCATGTTTCATATACTGTTGAAGCCAGGGGAAGGCAGGGGGCAGGGACAGGATGGACCAAAACTATACCAACAAAAAAATCTCCACCACAACATCAACAAAAAGAACCAGACAATACACCTTATAAGGGTTCAAAACTTAAATGGCAAATAGGAAAAACTAAGACTTCCAGCAAAACTAATTATGCTAATTAATGGTCTGATCCTTCAGAGTAGAAAGGATCAAAATGCCTAACAGTCCAGCTGTTCTTCAGCTGAAAGGATACCGATGAAAGACAAAGTCATACTGTTTTCCTGAAGCAGCTTTGAAAATTCTTTCCTACTGAGGGGGCCATCAACAGCTGCATACCAAATGCTACCAATAACTATATTCCCACAAATTCTAGACCCTGTCTTAATAAGAAATTACACACAACCCAAAACTCTAACCTCCCAAGACCTCTCACACAAGAAGCCTTATTTATTTTTAGAAGATGTAAAAGTTTTCCTCTTTTTCACCTCCACAAAGAATTTTCATCTCCCATACAGAGATGTCAGATTTAAATTTTCATGTTGAAGTTCTCAGCGGATTTACACATTGAAAACAGATGGATGAACTTTCAAATTTTTTTTCTGCAAATATTTATTGGGGTAGAAAATAAGGGTTTTTAAACAGCTGAAATAAACTGCATGTACCAAAACAAATTCTAAAACACTCCTGTTAAAATCCTCTTCTCCTTTCAAGTGGCTGTTTTCAATTTTTACTGTCATAGCTTTATTGGTTCCTCATTCTGCATGGTCATAACTGGTACAGAAGACTTCTTCTCTCACTGTTCTTCTTTCGGGTTTGCTTTATGCACCACAAAGATATAAAAGCACTACCCATTTTCCATCTTAGATCCCTTAAATCCAAACTGAAACTGGTATTTGGAAATACCCCATCTATCAGTGATTCCTCAATTCTATGGTTTTTATTTGTATTTTGTTTTATACAGATTTTCACAGGCAAAATCAAATGTAATCTCTTCCTGCCCAATGCATTAATATCCACCACTTTGTCTGAAACACAACATCATTAATAAGCAGTGTTAGAGAGCTATCTGCTGGTTACAGGATATGAACACAAAATATCAATGTAAAGTATCTCGATGTCCATTAGTCTAACTAGCTTCAGTTGTTCCTATTGCCATCTTAAACCTTCACCTCTGATGCACTTTGATTACTGGTGTACACTGATAAGCTGCCTCTAATCAATCTTCTACCAGCCCTCACAGATACACCTTGGCACCTTTCAAACTCAGGAATCTGAAGTAGGTTATAAAGTTCCTTTAAACTTCTTTTCTGTTAAATACACTCTCCATTCTAGCCTCATAAAACCAGTATGGCCCTGGCCCAGAAAGCACATGTGCTTCAACCATAGGCAAAGACCCTCAAATGCTTAGTTTCTAGTGAGCTCAAGAGTATTGCTCAACTGGAGTGCAAACCAAACCAGACACTACACTGCATTAATCATCTGGGTTTGCTGCAGACATGTAGCAGGGCTTATGCCAAAGATTCTTCATGCTTTGCAGCTTCACATGTCTACTGACAGTACTAAATATGAAATATGCAGTAGGCATGATGTAATATCTAAATAAAGTTGCATGTTAGCCAAATGTAATACATCTCTGAGGTACAGATACACTGTTAATGCCTTGTAATCTTTAAAAATGTGTGTGTGTGTGTGTGTCTTTCCTCCTTCTGTATTTCCAAATCTGTTGGCGTGTGGGTGGTCCTGCCAACAAATTCTGCCACTAGTTCTCAGAGGGCACTGCAGCTGTAAAAACTGGAGTACGCAGGTAAGGTCAATAAGCCAGAACAAATCTGCTGACGTGCGCAGCAACACCAAACTAAGAGGAGCTTCCCATCCTACCTCCTTCTCCCTGAGATAAGGGAGACAGGAGAGGAAAATCCTCCTGTCCCACCAAACAGAAACAATATAAGACAGAGCACTTGATTCAAGAAATTCAAGAAACATGGAGAGAGCTATAAAAAAAACCCCCAACAAACAAGACTAGCCAGGACTGAAATAACAGATGGGAGGTAGGTAAGGAAAAGCAAAGAAAAGAATACTTCCCACTAGTGCAGTAACTAGGAGTTGCCCTGTGCCTTTTCAGCATGGAAACAGGTTGTAGAAATATCCATGCAGTGAGGTTAAAGGAAGAAAATTCACAGAACTCCAGAAGTCCCCATGGAAACTCAAAGTCTAGCTTACCAAGATAATTGCAACAGACAATTTACCAGTAAAATTGTACTTATATCAGTTAATAGCTGTTTGGATTGATGATATATGTGATGATTAAAAAATAATTTTATGTGTTCTTATATACATTAAAGCTAAATATTATATGATCTTGCAATCATGTAACTACCCCTGACTGCTGTCCTTTAGGAACTGCTCATTTTGCATTGTAGGTCAGTGTTGTTTTTCTGAGTTTGGGTGTTTGGGGGTGTTTTTTGTAATGCAGACAACTGATGCAACCAGAATGAAATCTCAGCATTTCCAGCTAACAAGCTCTCAAAAATTTCTACAGGAAGTGATCACAATAGTTTTTTTTAAAAAAATAATTATGTTAATACTGCTCATGAATTCTTCATATAGCAAGCACCTTGAGACACGACTAAGACATAAGTAGCTGAAAGTTTCTATAGAAACAGAACAGGCGGCAAAAGAATCATACTCCTTAGATTAGACTGGTCCTTGGGCAAGAGCCAATGAATTATCCAGGCATCAAATCGTGTGACTATACCGATTGCGGATTTTTTCCCATTCTTTCATCAGGTTTCTGACTATGTAGTGTAATAAGGTAAGGAACTCCCAATGTAAGAATACTAAATCTGCAGGCTCTTGTTCAAGTAAGCAGTTTTAATGAGCAAAGGTTTAAAGTACACGTTAAAAGTTTGTGGGATTAGCATCTGGCTAACTGATGACAGTCCTTATCCTGAAGGCACTGAAGCACAAGTAACCTTATATCAAGGAACAGATCCCTCAGACACATAGCCCAAGTGTCTAGAGCAACCATACCTATATATGGGGGCAGGAAGAGAAAAAGAGTGCCTTCATTTTGTCTGATAACACTTTCAGAATAAAGGCAGCTTCCTCTTTTGCAAACTTGAATATTTTTTTTTTTTTTTTTTTTTTTTTAACACTTTCTCTAAAACATAGGTATTAACAGAGGAAAAGCATTGAAATGTAGTATCTGAAACCTGGGAATACAAAGCCACAACTGGCTAGGGGGCCTGGGCAATTGCTCTTACATCATGTTACTGGAAGGGCATAGAATGCACTAGAGAGTATTACTGGAAAGGGGTTGTTACGTGATGCAATTTATACTGAAGGAAAAAAAAAAAAAATCATACTATATTTTCCTTATCTGACCACTGTACCTCCCACTTAGTTGTAACATGGAAGGGGAGCCTACAACCACTGCACAAAGTAGATTAATAGTCTGTATGCGTGCATTAAATTATGATGCACTGTCTTTGTATCCTTACACTAGCAACTAATCTTCAAACTGTTTTTTACTAGAAGGGTTTATGATCACAGGAAGCCTGGCCTCCTGCATAACACAGACCCCCATTAAGCCACATGAAAATATCCTTTGGTCAGGTAGAAATCCAGACAGGTAGGTCACCTTGATTTGAAAACTAAGCCAATTGATTCAGCCAGTTAAGACTCTTCGAAGCACTTTCTGCTCTGTGGAGATCAGTATTCCTGATAGTTTACCATCCAGACTGATTACAAATTGCCCACAAGCAGTCATGAAATCAAGGGATGACATGCAGTAAAATCAACTTGGTATGTTGTAAGATACTACCGCTGAAAAACACACACTTTAGAGTATATGAACTCAAATACCTGCAAAAAGTCACAATGTTTTCAGCTGTTTGTATACCCGTGGCACAGATCTTTGCTGTAGGAATATTTCTTCCTCTTTCTTTCCTTTATTTTAAAATATAACTAGTGATTTTTTTTTTGTCTTTCATAAGAATTTGCAAGTTTATTTGAAAACACCAACAGCTGGTGCACCTTACATGCAACCAACCTTTTTTATTACAAAAGGATTTTCTTGCTAACAAAAAGTCACACTTTGATTTAAATAAAACACGCACAAAGATCAAGTTGTCTTTATCACCTTTTTAGGATTCTCCTGACAGCAATCTTACGATTATGTTTGTGAGTCTGTAGTGTTTTGCCTGCTAAAATACACAGGGCTCTCAAAGTAAACTGGATTGCATATATAATCCATGTCTTCACTGCTAAATATTACTTCTGGCACACCTTATTAAAACACCAAATCCAATTTAGTTATTGTTTATGAATGATAATAAATAATGACAATTCAAACCTTAAAAATTACCCGCAGCCATGGCTTTGTTGCACAGCAAACACTATCAAAAAGCTTAGGATGGTATCAGTGACACTTCCCATCCTGCTTTAACCATGCAGTCCTCAGGCTGGAGGCGCTTTCAAGCAGACACCGGTGACCTGCAATACATCCATTCTTTGCTGTCACAGGCGACCTGCATCAAACCTTGCCTAGAGTTGGAAGGAGGTCACTCGGCAGCTGCAACGGGGGACACCCTCCCCTCCTCCTCCAGTTTGCCAGATGACAAGCATGTGTTAATTCACCTGGGTCTTGAGGGCAGAGCCCTGCCCTGCCACAGCCTTCTCTCAGCTCTCCACTAATACAATCTGCAGCCTTTCAAGGTGTCTTTCA